TGCGAGGAATGCCCTTGTTCCTCTCCCAAATATCTGGTAGGAACCCTGTCTAGATTTGCTGACCCAGCTTCCTGCTAATGTATTCTGGGGATCAGTGGGTGATGTTGCAAATGCCTGGGCCCCTTCCACCCACATGGGAGATTTGGAAGGATTGCAGAATCCTGGCTTCAGCCAAGTTCAGCTGCTGCAGGTGTTACGGAGTGAACCAGTACTTGAATCATTTCTTCACCTCTTCTATGTGTCTCTTTTGCTCTTTAAGGTAGGTTAAAATAAATAAAAATTACTTCAGATAGACCTAAGTAGACATTTCTCAAAAGAAGGTTTTCAAAAAGTAGTTATGTGTAAGACTATTGACTATCAGCTGTCATTAGGAAAATACTAATCAAAACCATGATGAAATATCATCCCTCTCTGGTTAGAATATTACCGGGCCTGGCATGATAGCCTAGTGGTTAAAGCCCTCACCTTTTACACGCTGGGACCCCATATGGGCACTGGTTCTAATCCCGGTGGCACCGCTTCCCATCAGGCTCCCTGCTTGTGACCTGGGAAAGCAGTCGAGGATGTCCCAAAACTTTGGGACCCTGCACCCACATGGGAGAGCCAGAAGAAGCTCCTGGTTCCTGGCTTTTGGATTGGCTCAGCTGTTGCAGCTGCTTGGGGAGTGAACCATTGGACAGAAGATCTTCCTCTGTGTCTCTCCTCCTCTCTATATATCCGCCTTTCCAATAAAAATGAATAAATCTTAAAAAAAATAATATGACCAAAACGATAAATATATCAACTGATGGAAGGAATGTGGGGGAAAAAATACTGGTAGCGTTATAAATTAGGACAGCCATTTGGGGAAGCAACATGACTGTCTCAAACATGGAGCTGCAGAATGATCACTCATTCCAGGACTCCAAGTACAAAGCATCATATCCAAATGCAATCAGTTTATCAAAAAGACATGTGCAATCCCACGTCTACTGATGCACTATTCACAAACAGCCAAGGAATACTTAACTCTAAAAAGAGATTAATGGATAATCTGTGCACATAAATAGATAGTGTAGTGAGGTTGGCAGCTAGTTCAGGGTCATGAGCTTGGAAGCCACGCCCCCCACCACCTGGGTGTTCCCTCCTGCCCTCCTATGACTCTCACTTATCCCTGAGAGGGGCCAGTATGGCATTGTTGTGTAACCACTCCCCACACAAGCCCCTATAAAGGCTCATGGAAAGGAGGGGCTCACTCTGTTGGTTTTGTGTTTCTGTCACTCTGAGGACAGGTGTCCCCTGAGCATGGCCCCTGTGTGTCTGTATCCCTCACCCTCTGTTCACTGCTTGGACGGGACAGTGAAGATAGCAATACTAAGATGCTTTGCATTTTTAATTTGTGTGCTGTCAGGAGTTCCAAGAGAGCTGAAGCCTAAAAGTAGTGGAATGTGGGCAGAGAAGCCAGGGAAAGGGGAATGTCTGCAGCTTTGTAAGTGTGCCCAGGTTATTCACTGCATGTCTCTTAGGATAACTGGGACATAGGTCTTCATCTTAACAGATGGACTTCAGGGTATTAATCATTTGTTCCTCCAGGGCTTTCAATTCAGACCGGATTGCCATATGGACTTGCGATTTGCTATTTCTAATGGGCCATGTTATCACCAGGTTTGGTTAATAAAGACTCCTTAATAAACCTCAGACATGTCTGGCATGATCTTGCTCATACCCCGCAATAATAGGAATAGTGAATGGAGAAAAAAGTTGAAATTTGTCTGGTAGTCAAGGGAGTAACATGGATCAGGGAGTGTTTTTATATATTCTGATGGGAATTTAGGCAAGTGATATTAACAGGAAATGAAGGAGGCACTGCAAATGAATACAAATGAACGCAAAGAATTGAGCTGAACGAAGACTGCTTTTTAATGTTCAGTTGTACAACAATGAAATTAAAGGGAAAATAAAGACTGTCCCTTGTAAATCTGGTAAGAAAAACTAGGTTACAGAATGCACAGTATTTGACAGTGTGTGCATTAAGAAACTCTTACACCATTAAGAGGAGTATAAAATGTTAAAAAAAAAAAACCTTTTAAATACATACTTGGCAATGTGTACCAAAACATTAATATATGTCCATGCTTTAAGCCAACAATCATGTTTCTCAGGATTGAATCCAAAGATGATTGCAAATGTGCCAGTGTTATGCCAGAAGTGCATATCTGCCTTCTGCTCTAGCTGTAATAAATCACTGGATGCCTCATAAATACAGGAGTGGCATTAAAATGAACGAACTATTTTGAATGCTACATGGAAACAAATTCTTGATGCATTGAGTGAATAAAAAGAAAGTATATGACCAGAATCATAACCTTACCAAAAATGAAAACATATGCCCACATGACAGCAACAGCTGCTACCACCAGGTGGCAGTCGGATATGGAATTATTCTCATTTTACATCAACTGCCTTTTACAATTATCTCATGTTTCTATTATAGTCTGAATTGCCTTCAAAATCTGAAAATTCATATTCATAGTCAAGTTATATGAACTTAAAACTGGAAAATATTTGTAACCGATTTAACTTGTTCAATGAAAATATACCCTGTGTCCAGTATGTGCTAACTGATCTTTTAGGTGCTGATCATAATAAGATAAATAAGATAAACATCGTTCTCCTTCTATTCTTTATATTTTTATTTGAGATACAGCTATTAAACAAGGAAACTGAATTTTGAAAATAATTACAGGTGATGAGAATCGGGGTAGGAAACGGGCAAAGCTGAGTCGAAACTGTAAGACTGAAGAGGGCCTGTGTTTAAAATAAAGAACAAAAGGAACATTTCTGGAAGGAAGAACATGAGTGCAAAATGCAGAAGCAGCAATTTGCCAGATGACAGAGGCAGTGACCTTGAAAGACACCTGTTAGATCTGAGATGAGGCTAAGATACAGGCAAGTGCAGAAAGCATAAGGATGCGTATGTTTTGGTAAGAAGCGTGGCTTTAACTAATTCAAACGAAACTCTTGGTGACTTTGAAGCAGGGAAGTAGTATCTTATTTTTTCAAAATAAGAAGAAGCTCCTGCCTCCTGGCTTTGGATTGGCTCAGCTCTGGTCACTGTGGCTGCTTGGGGAGTGAATCAATGGACAGATCTTCCTCTCTGTCTCTCCTCATCTCTGTATATCTGACTTTGCAATAAAAATAAATAAATCTTTTAAAAAAGAGAAGGCAATGAGAGATTAACAGTGATAAAGTCCAGGAGATGAGAAATTAGGGCAGGAAATGTAGTGGTGATGGGTTTCAGGTGGCTTGTAGGATGACCATAAGAAAATTGTAATCTCTGCCAAAATAATCATTAAGAGTGCAGGTACACCATCTGTAAACAGTTATTTAGGTAAGTCAAGGCAAGGGACTATTCAATCAAATTGCACACCTATAACTTCCAAAAGATCTGAATGCAGAAAATATTTATGTCCTCATTTACATATAAATAGCTGAATTCAAATGAACTCTCAACAATTTCTCAAAACCTAGAATGCTGGGAAGCTTTGAGCGTCAGTCACATAAATAACTAGAAAAAATTTGAACTTCATGCCCAGATTTTATTTTTATTGTCCATTTTCTAGGAAGTTATCTAACCCTGCAACTGAAGCTAGCATTTACAATTATTATATAATCACAACATAGCTGAATCCAGGGACTGCTAATTCCTTTTGCAACCACAAGACTGATTTACTCAAACCCTGAGTGTTGGATTTAACTCTTGTTCCCACCAGGAAACTTGGAATAACTGTTCTTCCTCTCCATATATTTTATGGGAATTCTTTGAAAACTTTTGAAATCTGATTACACACATTATAAAAGAAGTGCTGCTCCTTTGCCAACTGCTGCATTACTAAAGGGTGTGTCCTTATTTCATAATCAAAAAAGGGCAAAGTCAGAATCCTGAACCAACTCTGTAACAAATAAGGATTTAACAAGAGCGTGAAATTAATTCTAAAAGTATTAAAAAGACAACAGAAACTTCCTTGAAAGAATACCACGGTTTTCCCAACTGCAGACTCTAAATGCAAATGTATATCAAATTTTAATACAAGAATTACAAGGCCTTTTAACACATTCATGGAAAGACAGATTTACAGAAAGGAGAGAAACACAGATTTTCCATTTGCTGATTTGCTCCCAAAATGGCCCAGCTGGTCTGAAGCCTGGTCTGAACCAGGAGCTTTCTCCAGGTCTTCCACGTGGGTGCAGTGGTCCAAGGATGTGGTTCATTTTTTTTGCTACTTTCCCAGGTAAATTAGCAGGGAGCTGGGTTGGAGGTGCAACAGCCAGGACTCAAACTGTCATCCAAAGGGGATGCATTGCTGCAGATGGAGGCTTAACTCACTACTCCCCAGGGCTTAACTCCCCCACAGCATTTGTCAGAAACAAAACGTCAGCTCATCTGTGCTGCAAATACTCATAGTATAATATCTTGCTTTTTCTAGATTAAAGAAAATTAACAAAGAACATCAGCTAGTCTAATCCATTTCTAATACAATAAGTAACTTTTTTGAAATGCAAGCAGATAAATCTGCAGTTTAAAAGTTCAAATTCCAGATCAAAGAAAATATCAATAAAAAGATATTGCAAAATCCTGCCTATTATCACCATTTTGTGGACAAAGCCTGTGTATATCTGTATATATGTATTTCTCTATCTTTGTATACACATGGACATGCACTTGATTTATTTGACTCATGCACAAAAGGTCAACTTGAACAAAAATAGTCTTAGAAGCATGTTCCCCCAAATGGATTTATCCTGGGAAATATGTATGAGTCATTACGTATTTTTTTTATACTGTAAAACTGTTGATGCTCACAAAGGCATTTTTGATTATTTTCTTTCTGCCAAAGAGAGTTCCCAGTATTTTCTATATGGCAATATAAAGAACTGAAATACAACTCCAGCAACAGCAGCAGTATAAAAATGTGCAAGTATCACATCCAGCAGGCTTAGCATTATCTCTTTAGCTCTTTTTAAACCTCAATACTGTTGGCAGCCTCTCCTAATTCTTCTATCAGATCCTGTTTGGGTTTTTCAGTACTTTTGTCAAGCACATTTTCACCAGGTAGCTTTTGAAATGTAGATCCCTGCACTAACTCACCAGACGTGTTAATGACTGTGTTGTGTTTAGCTCTCAGGACATAGGCTTGCTTGGGTTCTGCATGTTTTTGGCAGAGCTGGAGCTGGAAAGCATCTTCAAAGCCGTGGCGGAAGTTCTCATTGAAGAAACCATAGATGATGGGGTTGATGCTGCTGTTACAGAAGGCCAGCCAGTGTGCAAAAGGGTAGATATAGATGTTGATGACCCGCAGTTCACTGGGAGAAAGCTCAGCATAGTCTGAGAGCATCATTAGAGTCCACAGGGGCAACCAGGAGAGAATGAAGAGCAGGGCCACCGTCAGGAGCATCTTAATGACTTTCTGCTTCTTTCTGGACACCTGTGAGTGCTCCTGGATGTGCTGGCCTGGGTGGGGCACTGTGGCTTTGAAGAGGGAGACGCCAATCCTTCCATACATGATGACCATGAGGGAGAGTGGAGCCAGGTAGATGGTGGCAAACAGCACAGTGGTGTAGACCTTCCTCATCTCTGGGTTGGGCCAGGCTTCCCAGCACCAATAGACAGGGCTGGTTTGATTCTGGGAGCTGAGTCTCACCCGGAAGTATCGTTCCTCTCGCACTTGTAACATTACTGCAGATGGGGACATGATGGTGACAGCCAGGACCCAGATGATCACAATAATGACAAATGCTGTCTTGACAGTGATCTTTGGTTTAAAAGGGTAGACAACACACCGAAACCTGGAATTAAAGGCAAATACTAGTGAGGCATTGCCTTGTAACTTCAGACCAAGGTATGGAACAAATTTATGTAAGTTACTCTAGGTGTCTCACATTTCCCTCAAAAATAGAAACATTTATCATTGTTAAAGGAGAAGCAGGCATTGTTGCTTATTGTAATTCTTACAGGAAATAAACCTCCATTCCAACTTTGCATGAATGGCACATATGACACTATTAACATTCAGAATTAATCATGCTTGATATATTTAAAATGAACATTTAAAATTTTGTTCTGGATTCTGTTCTGTTGGTTTTTGTGGATTGTCTCTTTAATCTCTTCTAATTTAAACATGGAAAAAAACCACATCCACATGCTTGCAACCCAGCAGTATGGCTCCAAAGCTTGCTCTCTTGTCTTCCAAATGTGTTTGTAGATTGATAGTTGTACTGGTCCATGGTCAACTGTGAAATCAGACAACCAATGGACTGCTCCTCCCTCAGGTGACTAAGGTCCCCTACAGAAGGCATGTGTGCTGGAGCACATCACTTGCTTTGGCCAATGGGACACTCGCAAACAGAATATAAGTTGAAACTTCTTATGCACTTGTACATTAGGGCATTTTCCTTTTGAAAGGCAGATTCCAAGTTCTGAGTAGCTTCCATGAGATGAGATATCCGTGGAGAAATCTCTGGTGTATGTGTGCTTGCTGGGTCTTCTCCAATTTATGTCCAGGTCAATACTGTGATGTGAGTCATTTCCGCTCCAATCCATAGAGCAGGGGAACCATAGAGAAGCATCCAGAAAATCCACAAAACCATTCAAAGTAGTTTGTTTTAAAGCCAGATGTGTCAGAATTATATGCTTTCCTGATAACCTATGCTCTCTGGTGGGCAGAAAAATTGGAATTATTATGTCAAGTAAGACTAATTACTTCTATTACTATTTAATTATTGTGCATCTTTTTATTCTCATGATTGAGGCACATTATTCTAATTGTAAAATAAACATATTAGTAGGCAACTCTACTACACTTTCTCAAAACATTGTTATTTGTTTACTTCTTCTTCTGATAATGATTAAAAACCAAAGTCCTAGCAAAATAATTGCTTCCAAGTGCAAGTGTTGTGGGTTCATCAGATTAAGCTGCTGCGGAGACACCCATATTGGAGTGCTATTGGCATCCTGGAAACTCCTATCCTAACCCAGCTTCCTGCTAATGTACCTGTCACGCAACAGACAATGGTAAAAGTGCTGGACTCCTTGTCGTTTGTGTAACAAATCCAGTGGTAATTCCTATTTCCTGCCTGTGAAGTGGTTGCAGCTCCTGCAGTTGGTGTCCATTAGGGCAACGAACCAGAAAACAGAAGATCTTGATCTTTCTTTCTCTCCTTCCTCCCTCCCTCCCTTACACCATCTAATAGTAAGATTATATAAAAGAAACCTTTTTCTGATCTATTTCCATGTCTACTAAAATATCTTCAAATTAGGAATTGTTATCTGAATAAAAGATACAGTCATTTGGTTACTTACATATTTTTCCTTTTATAAATATAAGTATTTTAAATAAGTTTAAAAAATTCAATATATTTGGTTTTATTGCAGTGACTTTAGAACAGTTCAGAAAACAATGAGTAAACTGAAACTATCTCCTTGAGGAAAATTAGGTATAATTAAAACACAATTTGAATTATAATATTCCTCATAAAATAAAACTACCTCATGAAAAGAATAAAAGTAATTCTCAATGACGGATTAACTTCTGTATACAGAAAATATGGAGAAAAATATAGTGTACACCCGATGTGACATTCAAATTTACCAAAAAATAAATTATTATTTCTCAAATATATGCCATGCATTTTCAAAGAAATGAAATATTACAGGTATAGCTGAAATCCTGGGAGACATATCCATCCAATTTCATCCTTTGCTGTCTGCACACATCCAGCTGGTGCTATATTTGCCTCTGTCCACTCCTTCATGTCTGTACAGCATCTGTCTGCCTCTGTAAGTTTTCACATGTGACATGATGTGCAATATTCTGTGGATCATGATGCAGCCTCTTTTTAGAATGCTTTGCTTTTAAGATGTATGTGTGTGGATTTTTATACATTCATAATCATCACATTGAAGTTATGTGGCGAATTAGTAAATATACTGACTGATTGTAATCCCATTGACTTGGTGAAATGAACATCAAAGTCACTTTAAATCTGTGGTTAGATGTTACAGTAGAAACAATAAAGAAAGAATTTAGGTATCCAAATCTTAAAGGTAATGTGGAAATAAAAAGCAAAAGTTCAGGATTCAAGAGGAAAATTCAAGTGATACCAGAGCTTTTTCCTTCATTCTAAATAACGAATACTAAAAATGGAAATGGTCTTGGGCAGTGCTACGGCATAGTAGGTGAAAGTGGCCACCTGTGAAGCTGGCATATGTGGCCCTGGGTTGAGACTCAGTAGCTCCACTTCTGATCCAGGTCTGTGCTAATCAGCCTGGGACAGCAACCCAAGGTGACCCAAATACTCCGGTCCCCGAACCCACCAGGGAAACCTAGAAAAACTGTGTGGATTCAGCCTGGCCAAGCCCTGGCCATTGAAGTCATTTGGGGAGTGAACTAGTGGATGATAGATCTCTCTCTCTCTTTCTCCATTCCTCCCCCCTCCCTCCCTATCAAATAATTTTGAAAAAATTGAGATGATCACATTTTTTTTGCTGTCACAATTTCATTACTTCTTATATTTTTGGCCTCATTCTCTCACTATTCTCTCTCTCTCACTCACACACACACACACACACACACGAAGACACATTATCTCCAGAACACTGCTTATATTACTATTCAAATATCTCCATCCCAATTTACTGCTGTAAAACATATACATGCCCACTCTCATCAGGGTTGAGGCGGGTGTGGTAGTGTGTAGTAGCCAGCTAATTCTCCACTGGCCAATGCTGTCTTCCCAAATGGGCAGAAAACAAACTCCATATAAAAGGTTTCAGGAACAGGGCTGGTGCGCTGGCTTAGCAAGATATTCTGCCCTGTGGTATAAACAACCCATATAGGCACAGATTCTAGTCCTGGCTGCACCACTCCTCATCCAGCTCCTGGCTTATGGCCAGGAAAAGCAGCAAAAGGTGGCTCAAGTCCTTGGGCCTGTGCACTTGCATGGGATACTTAGATGAAATTTCTGGATTCCAGCTTTGGACCTGCCCAACACTTGTATAAGGTATATAATTTCAGTTGAGAAAAAGGTTCAAAAATTTAGTCAGTTATATAGATTTCCAACAGATACATCCTTTTTATTTATTTATTTATTTATTTTTTGGTAGAATTTGAGCTTGACAGTGACTTACCTGTCTATTGCTATCGCAACTAAAGTGAAGACAGAAGCTGCGACTGATATCCCCTGGACGAGTCCACTGAGCTTGCACATAGTGTTTCCAAATGGCCATCCTGAAAGAGAAATGCAGCTGTGTGGAAAGAACATACTGTAAACAAATAACTCTCATATAAAATATGAACAAAGTTTGGGACTAATACTCTACCAGTTCTTCTCCATGATCACCTGAGAATACCTATTGGTTTTTAGTACTTTCACTGATATTTTCAGAGTTCAGTAAACTGAGAACAATGCGAAATGTGCATAGTTATCGCTATATTCTAGGCTGTATGATAAAGACTATACTTTTTTGTGTATCTCAATATACAACACCTTTGGAAGTCTCTATTACTGTCTTCAATAGAACACACAACATACACCTTTCCATAGCTAATCAATAGCATATTAAATATTTGAAATGTAATCATTCAAATAAAAAATTTTAAAAAAGATCTAGACAACAGAGTTTGAGAGTCTAAACTATTCATCCTCTTTAGGAAGCAAGAAGTGAATATATCTCTATCCTAAAATTTCTTAGCTTGTGATAATAATATTTTTCAATAAAAATACACATGTTATTACTTTGCTTCTCTACCAAAATTTATTGAAATGATATTACCAGGGCAAAGACCTTTGATCAATAGGGATGGATTTATCTAAGTCCATTCAGATACCAATGGCTTTTCCCCCGTGCTGACCAAAGAATAGGATTTTCTCCCCGCTGGAGGCAGATATACAGATGTTCCAGACTGGTAATGGCTGCTGCAAGGACACAGAAAGATAATGGCAAGCCCACTTGTGCAAGGAAAGACTGCTGCTGCTACGAGCCACTCAGTTCTGGAACACAGCAGAGAGCCTCACAAGGCAGAGACAACCCACCCATCCACATGGATATACAGATCCAATAGTTGTGGACTTCTCAATACTTGGAATGGCTCTAAACTCAACCTCCACCAGGCCACATGGGCCTCACTCTGAAGCATGAAAAGCTAAGCAGCAGGTAATGTTAATAAAACCTCACATATAAAAGGAGACGTGGTGGTAGTCACAGTGGGCATGTGAACCTGTGTGAAGTCTCAGCTCACCCTCTAACACAGCTTCCTGCTGATGCACACTGTGAGAGGGACCAGGTGATGGCTTAATTACTTGGGTCCCTAACAAGGGCCTGGGGCAATGAAGACTTAGAGAGCCTGGCTCTTCCTTCTAGCCCTGTCCTGGCTGTGAGCGCCCAGGAGGAGCAACCTGGAAATGGTAATATCTCTGTCTCTCTGTGACTGCCTTTTGCATAAAATGAAAATAAAATTAAAACATCTTTAAGCGAGATAAAGGGAAGATAGCCAGAAAAAGGGGAGAAACAGCTGTGAGTCAGATATATGAAAAATAAGACACCAACATATTACCAACGGGGTTAGACATACACCATTTTGTCTGTGAAACAGCTGTATGAGGAACACATAAAAATAAGCAGAAATAATTCATGCAATTTAAGATGTGCTAACAGAAATGAAAACTCACCCTAAGGACAGAAAGGATAAGAGGAAAGATTTAAAATAAGAAAACCCAGAATCATTGATATCTCATTAATATATTAAGAGAAAAAAAAATGGAAAACAATCCTGTAAGAAAATTCCCCAGGAATGAAGGGCATTCATTTTTTGATTGAGTGGGTCTCATCTGTGTCGAGTGTAATAAATGGAAAAAGAAAGGCTTATTCCAAGGTTTCATTTCATGACATTAAGAACACACGAGCTAATCAGAATTGCTAAAAGCTTTCAGGAAGAAAAACCACCAGTCAAATAAGCCAAGAGTCAAATGGCATAAGAGTTTTCAGTAGTTAATGTCACATTTCTCAACAATAGCAACAGAGCAATCACTTTTGATTTCTCAGGGAAGATAGGTTCAATCTGTGTCACAAACAAGGGCAGGATAAAACTGTTTACAGATATACCCAATCTTAAGAAAGTGTCACCTCTGGGGCAGCATTGTGGTGTAAATGGGCCAAACTACCACCTACTATTAATGTCACAATCCCACATGGGCTCCAGTTCTTTCCTAATGTACCTGGGAAGAAGGCCCAAAGGCTTGGGATCCTATACCCACTACCCACGTGGGGAATCTCAGAGAAGCTCCCGTTCTTCATAGGCAGGTTGTTGTCATCTGGGGAGGGGAGCAGCAATGGGAGATCTTTAATTCTTCCTTTCAAATATATAAAATGAATCTTTTTAAAAACTAGCATGACCTCACTGTCTCACTGGACCATGTTTTTCAGGAAGACATGACAACCGGAGAATAGGGGACAACACGAAGAGCGATGAAGCAGATTGTTCAAGTGACTGTGCAGAGACTTCCCAGGACAGTAGCTGGGCTCCATACCTGGACAGCTCACGGCCAGATACGAACAAGAGGCCAGACAGTGTCAAGGTAAGACTCTGTAGCAGTGAAGTGAAATCTACAAGTTTGAAGGCCTTGACAAGAGAGGAAATCCCCTGGGAGAGAATGTGAGAAAGAAGGGGGGAGGGTGCAGGGGGAGAGAGAGAGAAAGAGAAGACCAATGACAGTTCTACATCCTAAAACAAAAAGGCAAAAATTGACACCCCGCGTCAATCCAGGAACTTGAAATCAATATCACAACATTTTCCAGGGCCCATCAGGGGTCCTGCCAAGCAGAATATGCAGTCTGAATATTGATCTCAGCAAAACCTGGATGTAATTATATTGTGAACCTGCAAGAAAAGGAAAAGTAGGAATACATGTTTGTGGTTTTGTGGAAGAGGATTAAGATATCTGAATGTTAATTTTCTTCGGTGGAAGATAATGTCACATATTGAAAAGCACGCTACTTAGCAAAATGGCAGTAATTGTTGAAAATAAAACAAAAGTGCCAAGAGCAATAATCTTTTAGAAATAGAAATCAAAATTAAGAAGGAGTAATGAATATGCAAGATTTTTATGTCATTGTTTAAGTTATTTTAAGATATTTGTGAGGGTGAAAAATACCAAGCATGCTAGCTGGAAAAAATAGCATTCCAGACAGTAATAACAGTAAACTTGTTCCTTCTAATCCTCTTTGTGTCTGAGCCAATGACAAAAGAACACGACATCATCAGTAAGTTTTCTATGCAGTTCATGACTGAAGAAGGACCAGCACTCTGCTCTCTCCCAAGTATCCTTTCCAAAAAAATAATTGGAAGAGATGAACATTCCAAAGTAGGACCTGCATTCCATTCATCAGTGAGTTTTAGGAAAGGATAAAGATTATGATATGGTCCATACTACTTGAAAAATACCCATTTATCCATTATTGTTATACTTTTATACACACTTGGATGTGGTATCTGAAGTGCTGAGAGCTAAAGAGCACAACAAACATTAACTAAGCTGTTATTGCACACCAAAGTGGTACTGGGAACTGGCAATGTGTCCTTCCGGCACTTCCATAACACCTAAGGCAGTGCTAAGGAGGAACTGCCATCCCGGGGTGAAGGCACTGATGCTACACAGGTGAACGGCCACTGGCTGAGGAATCCTCAGGGTGACTCTTTTCCAGCTAACCTTAGGATGACTTTTCGATTTATGTTATGAACACCCTATATCAACTGAAACCAAATACGTGAGCATCAATTCTTGAAGCCTCTCAACTACAGTAGTATGTCCACTACTTACAGGTGTCTAGATTTATTAAGTAAAGTTAAAAAGGTCTTATCTCTGGTAGCTTAAAAAATATCATCTTTTGGGGCTGATGCGGTGGCTAATCCTCTGACTGCAATGTTGTCATCTTATATAGGAACCGGCTTGTGTCCAGTTCCTGTTCAGCTCCTTGCTTCTAGCCTGGGAAAGTAGTGAAGGAGGGCTCGAGTCCTTGGGCCTCTGCACCCACATGGTAGACTGGAAGAAGCTCTTGGCTCTCGGCTTTGGATCAGCTCAGCCCTGGCTGTTGTGGCAATGTAGGGAGTAAACCAGCAGGAGACTCTGTCTCTCCTTTCAGTATAATTAAAAATACATGAATCTCTTTAAAAATATCAACTTTCAATCTCTATCAATCTAATTTTTCAGCATTTGATGTTCTTGTTCTCTGCTTAGTTAGGTATAGCTTGTCTTCTTAGAATGAATGTGTGGTCCATGTGGACAGGTGCTTGGAACAGTTCAGAGATGTGGGGCATTTTCTTATATCATCTTTCAACTGCACACCATCAACCTACCTACTATAATGTTGTCCAGCAGGGTTATAGGCATGCAGAATATGCCAATGAGCAAATCGCTGATTGCCAGGTTCAAGATGAAGAGATTGGTGACCGTGTGCATATGTTTGTTCCTCATTACAACAAAGCAAACCACCGTATTTCCCACCATACACAGGAAGAAGATCAGAAAGTAAGAAATGATGAAGACTGTTGCCACTTGAGGCTGGTGACGATAGTAGTTCACGTAGGTAATATTAATATCTAAGAACAGGTGATCCTCTGTGGCATTAACAGTCCAGTTGTGATGCCAGTGTTCTGAGTCTGAGTCCCATTTCTCACTCATGATGAACCTTAACAAGAGAGAGGCAAAAAGGAAAAGCACAATTAGAAAACAACAGAATGTTTGTTCTGTGCTTGAAAGTAACAAAAGGGACATTTCAAAATGTCATGGAATTTTTTCGACCTTCTATAATAACCTATTGGTTTTTGCATGGAACTGAATTAAAAATAAGGCATTCAGGTTGCTATGATTTCAAACAGCACTTGAAAATTCTACTTTCTTTCACATCAACAAGTGTGATTATATTTTATTTCCTCAATATATTCTGGATTTCACTTATTTACATATACTCACTATCCATTCACACATTTTCTCTTACTTTCAAATTTTATTTCCCCTGCTGCATGTATTGCCATTAAATTGTTTTGTTAAGCCTATGTTATATCACTCTAGCTTTCCTGATAGTCATAGTCAGAAGGGATGCCCATATGTTCAATTTCCCATAGAGATATGAAGGGATGTTTAAGAATCCTAGGACAATGGAATTGAGCAATAAAAACCACAAATTTTATTTTTCAACACAAATTTCATTAGGTTTAAGACATGTAAAGTAACGTAATCCATCCCTAAAGAATTTTGGGACCTGGGGATTCAGCTACATTAGTAGCCTTGGAAATCAGCTGAGGAAAAATGAATACCTTTTAAACCTACTTTAGGGGTAACCTCTGTGGTTGAGCTGCTTAATCTGCCATTTCTGACATGAGAATCCCAAGCTGGATCAGCTGGCCTGAGTCTTGAGTCCTGGCTGCTCTACTTCTCTGCTTCTGACACAGCCCTCTGTGAACGCATCAGGGAAGGGTCCAGATGCTTGGCATCCTCCAACCAACACAGAGAGCTGGATGGAGTTTCGGACTCCCAACTTTGGCCTGCACCTAATTGGGCCACCATGGCCATTTGGAGGCTGAATCAGCAGTTGGATTATATCTTTTTCCTTTGGTCTCTTATTCTCTGACATTATGCCTTATAAGTAAATAGAATCTTCTTTGAAAAATCTAAAAATTTACAGATATTTTGAGACTAGGAAATGAAGTCAGAAGGAATTCAATCAGGAGTGTAAGGCTAATGAGTTCATACTAAAATCTCGTCAGTGTGTGCCTGTCCGATAGGAATAAGCCTGAATGTTGCTGGGATTCAGGACTCCCTAGAGAAGCTTTGTCAGCCATTTTCCTGCTACAACATTAGCCAGCTTTCTCAAAAACACTCTTCTAGTAAATAGATTGATACTGCTCTATTCCACAAAAAAGTCGAGCAGTGAAAAGCCTTGAGCTTCCCCAAAGCAGATTCCAGCATGTTTGCACCTGAATAGTGCCTTTGTACCCTGATTCAATCTCCTCTTCTTCTTGGTATCTCTTGCTGGAGGGTGCCAAGTCTTCAGGATCCTACTGGCAAAGCCATGTTTCATCTCCAGCAGTTTTAGAAGAAATGGTTCAGGACTCTGAAGCTACTTGTTAGCAATCTCTACGGAAAGTACTGCTGATGTCTGTAGCTGATGTCGGCACAATGGTTTGGCACCTACCAAGTTAGTTTTCCAATCAGGGTTGGGGACAGACATTTGGTGCAACAGTTAAGATGCCAACAGAGGAACCCAGATCTCATGCTAAAGTGTCTAGCTTTGAGTCCAGAAGGGAGTCCTCACTCTCCTGTTCCAGCTTCCTGGTGCTGCACACCCTTTGAGGCACCCGGGGCTGGCTCATAGGGTTGGGAGCCTGACGCAGTGTGGGAAACCTATATGGAGTTTTGGGCTGCTGGCTTTGTTCTTCCCCAGATTCAGCCATTGTGGGTGATAAGGAAATAAGAGAGTAAAGAGGAGATTCTTTCTCTGTATATCTAGTCTGACTTTCTCTCAGTTATTCTGCCTTTCATATGAATAAAAAAGAATTGTTTTCACTGAAAAAGAATTGTGTAAACTGAAACCAGTTGTGTGTCCTTATTGATTTTGTTGAACATCAGTCTTCTTCAATTAGAGCAAAAACAAAACAAATCTTTCTTCTTTTAATTGCTGTGGGTGGCCTATTTCTAAAGGCTTCCTCTTCACGATTGTCCCATTCCTTTCTTAAAACAAGCCAGCATCTGAAAACAGCTTCTTTGCAACACTGTCCCCACACACTTTTCTCTGGGCTTCAATACCAACAGCGTTCTTCCAGACAGACTAACCATCAGTTTGATGTCTGCTCTTGCTTTAGTTCTAACAGAATTCATGTTGTTCTGAGGCTCTTTTGATGTCTTTTTCTTTTTAGTGCCTCAAACTAAATTTTGCTCAGACACATTATAATTAGAATTAGGAGTTAATTTTGGCACAAAAAGAATTTGAAATCTATTCATCAATTCATCTAATTCATGAATTCATCTAATTCATCAATAAATTGCCTAGAATTTACACATTTTAGTGTGGTATTTTAATCAGCCCATGTGCATCAGGAATATTCAAGACCACTTTCATGTAATTTACGAGAAACATCCACTCTGATTAGCATATAGCACATGCCCGGCTACATTTACTTTGGTGAAGAACACTGCACAAAAATCAGCAAAGACAAAAGGCACATGGGCCGAATGCTGCAGAACCCCAGGCACAGTCTCCCCAAAGTCTTCCTGTAGGACATGCTTGATTCTTTCCAGGAATCAGGAGGTACAACATTTATGAAGTGAAATAGAACAGAGATACTCAGCAGTGACTATTATTATAAAATTATCAAAAATTATAAAATTATCTCAGTGACTAGCATCTATCTTATTGAGCCAACAGTCACATGAGTAGAATTTCCCAATCTCAGAGGAAAGGTGTTTGGCATAGAGTGTGCTGTCTATACACTGTGGGCTTTGTAAGTCTCTCATCATTTAAGCCAAATGTTTCTGTCATCAAAGCAACTGTTTGCTACCTAAGGTCTCAGGTTCCACCAAAGAGGCAACCTGTGAACAGGCCTTTCCAAGGACAAGAGTTCCAAGCTTGCTTGTTTACCTTTCTCTGCATGCTTTTGTTGATCAATTGGACAGGTGATTATAGGCTCCTATGGATGAAAATAAATTCAACAGTGGGCTTACACCGTTGAACATTTAGAGTCTGAATTGAAGAGAAATTCAAATGTGTCTGCTGCTACTAGCTAATGAGACCCCAGCGATCAGACATGGGCAGTACTTGGTGATTCCCTTATCGCTTAACATTTTTGATCTTTCACCAAGTGTGCATTTGTATCACTGCAAGGAAGCACCACTATTCTGAAAATATCACAGGCACATTATGACATATGTTCCTCCTTAAACTTGACTTCAGATTGTCTCCTCTTTATCTTTACGAGACAAGGAAAAAAACAATTTGGTATTTTAGTGAATGATTTTCTTTCTTCAATACTTCCCATTATTTTGACATTTTATGTCTCTTTTTCCTCTAGTTGTTAAATTCTGCTTCGATTTCTTGAATTATATACACCTCTGTACTGTGGCTGCTTCCTGTTCCCCTCGCAAGAAACACAAAAACAAATGAAAGGGCAGAGTGAGTATGGAATGAGGTGTGCTCAGGAGTAAGGAGAGAAACTCAAGGAGGACAGGATGTGCTCAGCAGCGCACAGTGGGACGACAGTGTCTTTGTTTAGATGTGCTCAGCAGCGCACAGTGGGACGACAGTGTCTTTGTTTAGATGTGCTCAGTAGCACAGTGGGATGACAATGTCCTTGAGGAGGACAGGATGTGCTCAGTAGCACACAGTGGGACGACAGTGTCTGGTTAGATGTGCTCAGCAGCACACAGTAGGATGACAGCGTCCTTGGGGTACAGAGCTTAATCTTGACAAATCAACAAGCTTGACAAGAATCTTTCACTCCAAGTCTCCAGAACAAGAGCATCACCACACAAGAATGTACAGATGTTTATGGAAACATTACAAAGAGAACTGCAAGATAGAGTTATAGGTATTTAAAATTAACTGACAAGAAACAGCCATCCTAGAAAAATCTCTATCCCTAGGATGAGGATTAACAGATCAATCTGTGAATTGTATGTAAAGGTTTCATAAATTGATTAAGATACATTATATATGCAAATTCTGACAGCAAAAATATGAAGCTGCAGGAGGGAGGAGGATAGATTTAGCTGTTATATGTAATAAGATTATTATCAGCTTGAAACAGGTTGTTAGAAGTCTTTTATGTTATAGGTAAGTCTCATAAATACAAAAAAAAAATCCAAAATAAAAGTACAGAGAAAGAAGAGAAACAATTAAAAATATACACTGAAAAAAACCATCAAACTACATAGAAATATAGCAAAAGAAAAAAAAAGGAAAAGTCAGAAGCAAAACCCAGTTAGTACCTCCTTGCTTTTCAAACTATGGAATACAAAGACACACGGTGACTGACTGCAAGGAAAACCGCAACCCAGCTCTATGCTGCCCACAAGACTGGTCTCTCTGTTAAGGACACAGGTTCAAACTGAAAAGATACAGAGAGATACTCCATGCAAACTGAAGCAAAGAGAGCAGAGATGACTGCCCCTTCATCAAAGGATGCCAGGGAAACTGTCTCCACAGGAAACTGGATTTTTAGTTTCAGGTTATTTGTAAAGGGAGCTTAAAATGGATTAAATGTCTAATGTAAGATCAGAAACTACAATGATACGAGAAAAAAAACAGAAAAAGCATATGTACTGAAATGGGTAATAATAATTTGGATTCAGTCATAAAAGTTCAGGGAACACAAACAAAAACAGAGAAATAGGATTGTGTCAAATGAAAAATCTTCTGCATGGCAAATGAAATAACACTCTGAAGAGAAAACCCATGGATCAGGAGAAACTATATTTAAAACACATATCACTAGGGGTTCAATATCCAAAATACATAAGAAGTTCAAATTTAATAGCAAGAAAATAAAGTACTCCATTAAAAAATGGACACGGGACCTAAATAGTTCCCAAAAGGAGCTTCGCCAATGGCCAACAGATATATGAAAAATGTTCAACTTCACTAATCATTAGGAAAATGGTAATTGAAGTTACAAATCACATCATGCCAA